GGGTAGTTCACACAAGAATTTCAATTCTGTCATTATTCACTCAGCCTTTACTTGTCTTAAACCTTTATGAGTTATGAGAACAGAAAAAAAGGCATTTTGAAGAGAGCTGAAAACCGGTAACCATTGATTTCCATTTGTTCTTCATACTATGGAAGTCAATGGTTACAGGTATCCAGCATTCTTCAGAATATCTTCTTTTGTGTTCAACAGATGAATTTCAAGAGTTCACACTTATTAGATGATTGATTCTAAAGCTTGTTTGTTTGGCATGCTTCCCCGGGAGAGAGCCCTGAGCTCATAAGATCTGGGAGTTTGAGGAAGGTACACGTTTGTACTTAAAGGGTCCATATTGGTACCCCAAAACAATATATTAGTACCTAAAAAATTTAAGAGGAACCCTTTTGTACTTTTTAGGTACTAATATGTACCCTTGAGGTATTAATATGGACCTTTTAGGTACCTCTTGAAAAGGTACCACCCTAGGGACAGCTCTCCTTTATTTCTGAGAGTGTAGTACAAGTCTCCAGTACAGTAGCACAGCTCATCACTGAGAGTGTTCATCAGTTTACTATGTCAACATGTACTGAAACTGCGCCATCAGCTCCAAATCCAAGGATAAACGTCCAGCACCTGTCTGTGTCCAAACAAACAGCTTTTAACACATCTCAATCCCTGAGCCCACATCAGCCGTCAGGAGGAAGCCCTGCACACACGCTAACAGAGAATAATGCACTGTAAAAGAAATCTCACTGCTGTAAATTCCTTCCTGGAATGAACCGTCAACTATTCCAACATATGTTTTACGTAGCGGATGCCCCTCCAGCTGCAACCCAGTACTGGGAAACACCCCTACACACTCATTCACACACATACTCATACACTATGGCCTATTTAGTTAATCCAATTCCCCTATAGCGCATGTGTTAGGACCAACCCAAGCTCATTCTGAAAATGTAGCCCCGCAGACGTTTCTGGAGACCGTGATTTATGTGGCCGGAGGTATGTATGGCTGCATTTCGGGGCGGTGTGACGTCGTTCCTCTTCGTGCTTGCCGGCTGATGGCTCACCTCCGTGTGGAGGGTTTTCCCGCCGCAACTAGTTTGTCCAGTTAGCTCATCGTGTTTCGACGGCGGAGCGGTGGCCTGGAGGAGGAGCCAGCCGCGGCAACGACTGGGTTCGAGTCCGGGGAAGAGCGGTTCTAGAAATCAGAAAATTTGTCAGAAAAGACAAAAAACAGAATCCAAAAAATAAAGCGAACGAGTTCATAACGGGGCGAGAATGCGGTGAAATTCGAAAACGCGGTCAAAATCGGACGAGGGCTTTTCTTTTTCTAGACAGCTTTTGTAAATCGTCGCTTGGGTTTAGGGAAGAAGGAGGAGGAGGAGGGTGGCTGGGTCGGCCGATTGGCTGGCCGCACAGTCAACCATTCAGTCATTCAGTCATTCAGTCAGTCGGACAGACGGTCGTTCGACAGCGGCCTCTGGTGGCTTTTTGCATGAGAACAGCGCGGGTGCGAACGGCACACGCTCGCGAGAGGCGTTCAAGGCGCGAAAAATCGTGCACAGTGGCCTCTCGCTGATTAGCAAAAACTGCAAAAATACGTACCTCCCGGGCAGTGGTGTAGCAGACGGGCCCACAGGGCACGCACTGTGGGGGGGCCCCGCGGGATTACGATTTTCAATAATTGAAAATCCGGCAACCGCAATAATCAAACTCTTGGGAACAACTGTGGTCGGAACCAAAGTTCACAGGTCTGTGTTCTCTGCGGTGAACTTCTTCATTCTGATTGGTTGCCGCCGAACCGCGTCATACCTCATACCATAAAGTTGACTTGATTTCAACTCTCCTCGACGCCCACACCGGAGAAGACGCGTCGCGCTGTTTCTCGCCGCCGGTTCTCATTGAAAATGAATGACTTCTGACTACTTTGACGCTCTTGCCGATTTCGGTTTGTGATCGCTCCTCAGTTTGTGAAGGCTTCCCCGCGTTGTCGCTCCACCCCGCCCCCTTTTCCCGCTCCTCAGTTTGTGAAGGCTTCCCCGCGTTGTCGCTCCACCCCGCCTCCCTTCCCCGCTCCTCAATTTGTGATCATCAGGGGGCCCCGTCAGTGATCCCTGCTGGGTGGCCTCCGCATTTTGCGCTACACCACTGCTCCAGGACGTATTTCGCGGCCACCAAAAACGTCTGCAGGGCTACGTCCTTTAACAAAGCCATTATAAACACTTTGCTCCAACTTAAAGTAATGACACTCGTGCTTTGTCCAGCTGTCCTTCTAGCAGCAAGAGGAACCGCAGTCTAATGCATATTACTCAATGCACCTGTAATTAGCAGGGTAAACACAGAGGAGAAACAGGGTTCTCTTCATGTCAGATTCCTATTAGTCCTGCGCAATATTTCGCTTCAGCATCGACATCGCAATGTGTGTGTGTCTGCAATAGTCACATCACAGGATACACAAAGCTGATTTGTGATTAACAATTGAGAATACATGAGAATTGTGGAGTGATTACAAAGTATAACCTGTAGCCAGAGGAGGATTGGGTGGTATTGAAAGACCCCTCACCGACAAAGGCCCAGATTTTATCCTATACACAGGCTGAATTGTCCTACTTTGACTGCTAAATTGTGAAAATAACCATCGAAGAAGGCTTTAAGACCAAGCAGAACACTCTTTTGGCTGTTGATTCAGCGTGACTGAGGAAAGTTAAATGTGCTGGACAGGTAATAAACGACAATATGGCGAGTTTTTAATCAGCATCCTTTGGGCCAGACGGAATCTGCGGACGTTTTTTTGCTATTTCTGCTGAGAATTCTGGTAAAAATCTGCGGATTTCTGCGGAAATATTTTGGGAGTATCATAACTAAAACTTTAATATAAGAAATAAAAAGCAATGCCTTTTTAACTTTTATTTAATGTTTAAAATGCAACTTAGATTCACTTTATTTGGTAAATAAAAGCAAGTCTCTCATATGATATCTCTACTAAAATACAGAAAATATGACTGTACAAACTGCATTGTACATGAATCTGATTAACATGTTCATATTAGTCAATAATATTACTTTGATTAATTAAACAAACTGAATAATTATAGATTTACACATTTACTCAGGTAAATAAACTGAATTAATGATGGCTAAAAATCTGCGTGCAGATTCCGTGTGGGCCAGCTAATGATATACTGTATGATGTTATAAATTTGTATTATCCTCATATTTTTTTCTTCTAAATCTTTAGGAAATGTTTTTGCACATCAAAAAGTGTAGTTGAAGACCATCCGACAAACTAATCCAGTAAAAAATAGTGCTTTAAAAGTATTTAACCCAACCCAAGCTCATTCTGAAAACGTAGTCCCACGGACGTTTCTGGAGACAGCGGAATTTGTCCCGGAGGGCGCTGTTCCCTTTCGCGCTTGCCAGCCGACCGCTTACCTCCTTGTGGAGGCTTCCCCGCTGCAACCCGTTTGTCCACTCAGCTCACCGTGTACATCGGCAGGCTCGAGATGCAGAGAGGAGTCGACCACGGCGACCGTTTCGAGTCCGGGGAACAGCGGTTCCAGCAATCAGGTAAGACAAAAACAGAATCCCAAAAATTAAGTGAACGAGTTTCATGACAGGGTGAGAACGCGGCGATATCCGAAAACACGGTAGAAAAAAAAAAATCAGGGCTTTTCTTTTTTTGGACGGCTTTTGCAAACTGTTGCTCGGGTTTAGGGAAGCGAGCGGGCGGGCGGGCGGGTCAATCGGTAAAATTCGTTGGGTTCAGGGAAGAAGGAGGGCGGGTTGGCCGATTGGCCGGTCGTGCAGTCAATCATCCCGTCAGTAGGACAGCGGCCTCTGGTGGGTTCAAGCGAGAACAGCGCGGGCGCGAACCGCACTCACGAGAAGCTGAGTTGCAAAAAAGTGCACAACAGCTGCCTCTCGCGGATTCGCAAAAACAAAAACTGCAGCCGTACGTACCCGCCGGGACGTATTCCGCGGTCTCCAGAAACGTCCGCGGGACTACATTTCCATAATGAGCCTGGGTTGATTTAACCTCATAACTAAATAGAATATTAGGCGATTACAGCGCATCCATAGAGTATAGACAGCACTTCACTATGTTTAATACATTTGCAACATCTTCAAACACTCTTTTCCACACTATCATTATGGGGGATTGTGTGTAGAATGTTGAGGAAATAAATCAATTTTGGAATAAGGCTGTAACATAAACAAATGTGGAAATAGTGAAGCGCTGTGAATACTCTCCGGATGCACTGTAACTTCAAAAAGGTCCATATTTTAGGAAAACAGATCCACTTTTTCACCAAGCACGCTACAGACAAGATAACAGAGTGAAAGTTCATCATTTACATGTATTTTAAAGGAGTTTTAAACATTCAGGCACACTAAAAAGCACATTTGTAACTTAAATGAGGAATTATTTTACTGAATTAATCACAATTAATATATTTACAATGTTATTTTACTGTTCGTTATTCAATTTCTGTACCAGAATACTGTTTGACTCTCTGGAAAACCCTAAAGCATTGTTTATTTGACTTTTTTCGTTGCTTTATTGTTATTATTTTGCTTGTAATTTGTTTATTATTTGTTTATACATGATTCACACCCATAGTCAATCACCCCAATCAATCCTAATCAATGATTTATCTCCAAATAGAGCTATCCAAGCCTTCATATATATGAACAAACTATCTCAATGTCAGATTTTTCCAATATCCTGCATCCATCAGTCATGGGGAAGCCCACAGCATCTCCTCAGCACCAGAACACACACAGACATGAAGCATGAACACACACACACACACACACAGTCTCTGATGCTCTTCATCTTCTGCATCATCATAATGCATGTGCACAGACATCTTGCCAGTCATGCCATCATGTTTGCGGTTCCTCTGAAGACGCCATCAGTATCTCCACCACCCCTCCGCAGCGTATAAATTCAGATGTCGAGTCATAAATACCGCGAAAATCGGTGTTTTTCGACTCAC